TTTTCCCGCTTAGCCCTTCAAGTCCGTTCCCTTGACTGTCGTTTCGCTAGATAGTAACTCGGGACAGAGGGAATCTCATTAATCCATTCATGTGCGAACCCAATCGCACCGCAGGGCAGTGGACTAGGGTAAAGGAGTCACACCGCCACTCCAGTCGTCCACACACATGTTGGTGGATATCACCACCCTGCACCCCACACACAATCCCCACAGAGGCCGCAGTGGAGTGGTCCAGCAACACAAAATGTCCTTCCCACTCACAGTGCACACACACACAATGACAGCCTCACATGCTCATATCAGAGAGGCACTGCGGCATTCACTAAAATGTACACCAAGTCACACACCTACAGAAAGGAAAAAAAAAACACAAGAAGAGAACAACAACAACAGGATACCAACAGCACACAAAGCACTCACAATACAATAATCACAGCTGCCACTCCCATCAGAGAAAAACATTTACCCATAACAGCACATCAACTCAACCCCAAAAAAGAAAAAAACAGACCCATTACGTGAAGCCGAAGCGGAACAGTCTCAGTCCCTCCCCGCAGGCTGCAGTCACTTAAGCAAGCCTCACCACAAGAGCAGAAATATGTTCGTGGCAATGCCGTGTGTGACACCACCGAGAGAGAAGGTGAAAACAAAGAAATGTGTTTTCATTACGTGGGCGGTGCGAGTAGCAAGCTGAACACACACAACAGAGGGAAACACTCAAACACCTACAACCCATCGATCTTTATACCAGAATAAAAATGTAAAAAAAGAGTGACTGCGTGAGGCAGACACAATAATAGAGCAAAGATGTAAAAGAACAAAAGAAACTCATTACTGACTGTGGCTGCGATGCCTGGAGACAGTCCAATTCACCCCAAGGTCAACAACGGAAAATCATTGTGTACTGAACGTGCCGTACTCATATCGTTATTCTTGATGTCCCTGCAGCAGTTTGTATATGATGAAAAAAAAAAGAATCATTCCATAAAAATGAGCACACAAGACACACAAGGTGTATCGAAAACGCAAAAGAGAAACACACAGCTGCACATAATGTGCAATGAAATCATAATGAGAAACACACACACACAAGGGGAAAACAAAACAAAATAAAAACAAAATAAAAAGAAAGCTGTGATCACCATGTGAATATGTTCAGGAGGCAAGAACACAATTCCCAACAGTAGGTGTGTATGTCTTTCGTACAGGGCGAGCAATGGGAATGATGCACACATGATGACAGTCCACACACACACACACAAAGAGAAGGAAAGTTTGTAGTGTGCGTGTTTGTGTGTCTTGAACCTCCTGCCATTCTTAACATTTCAGTCACAGCAATTAAAACACATTGGGATTGTATCCCATCCCCATGGGTGAAAGCAATAGTTAGTAATATCACGGAACACACACACACACATCACCATGAGGACACAGTAAATGGCGGAAAAACAGTGCCCAGATAATAATGCCAGCAAAAAAAGAGGAGACTCCCATCACAAAATGATGGTTTGTCGTGTGATATGAGTGCCATAGGGAGTCCAGTAAATTTGTTCAACAAAAAATGCAAACAAGAGATTTGTCAATCTGAAAAAAAAAAACTGACATCCAACCAAAAGAAACAGTGCCCTTACAATGCATCCATACCCACTCAAACAAAGGTTAACTGTGTAACTGTTACATGATAACAACGATCAGCACACGAGAGTGCAACCCAACACACACAGCAGAAGCAACAATAAGGGACTGTGTACGAAAGCAGGACCGCTGCTGCCATCTTTTTTCATCACGGGTTTCGTTTTTTCTTCCTCAGCCTTTCTTTTCTGTTCTTCAATCTTCTTCTTTTCCTCCTCCAATTTCTTCCGTTCCTCATCCTTCCTTTTTTCTTCCTCAGCTTTTTTCTTTTTTTCCTCAACCCTCTTTTTTTCTTCTTCGACCCTTCTTTGCTGCTCCTCGATCTTCTTTCTCTCTTCTTCCTTCTTCTTCTTCTCTTCTGCAACTCGTCTCTCCCTTTCCTTTTTCGCTTTCTCTTCGGCCTGGATCGTCTCAACAATATGTTGTTTTTCCACTTCCTCTCTCTGCCGTAGATGCTCCTTCGCTCCCTTGAAGATTTCTTCCTTTAGTTGCACCGCCTTAACCACCATTTGTTTTTTTTTTTCTTGATCTATTTTCTTAAGAGTGTCGCCTTCTTTCACTGTTACCCCTTCTATTACTTCGTTACCCTTCATATCCGTTTTTGGTTTTTGCGAGACTACCTTTAATTGCACTTCACCATTGTTTGCAACTTCCCCCATTACCTTTGTAACGTTCTGGATCGCCCCTATCCTTCCCACGTCTGTCCTCTCACGTTCGAGGCTCGTTGCAAGTGTTTCGAGTTTTTTTTTCGCATCATTCAATGTCTTTATCGCCCCTTCCAGTGTTTTCACCTCTTCCGTCATCGTATTGACGCCGTTCCAGTTCAATTGGTAGATCTGCGCACTAACATTTTGTAGTTCTCCATGTACTTTAGTGCTGTTCATTACAAGTTGCTTGCACTCCTCGTTCCCGTACCACACATCTCCCTTTGTCATATAACTCTCCAATCCCTGGCGTTTTTTTTCGAGTTCACTCAAAACGTGAGCCACGTTACCACGTGAAGCGTGGCATGCCTGATTTGCGGCTCTTTTTCGTCCAACTGCAATTGTTGCCGACCTCAGTGCGTCCTCCGTGTCACCCATTGCCGTCCTTACTTTATCAAGTAGTATTTGAATTTTCCCTCGATCGTTTTTCTTACCCTCAATCCCATCAAGAATCCCAACGGTATCTTCGGCAACTTTCTTGGCGTACAAAACACTCTCATTGCTATCTTTCATTTCATTCTTCAAGAATGACAAACAACTCCTCCCCTCTGCAAGCATTACGTAGGCATCACTCACTGCCGTTTGCAGATTGTTTTTCGTTCTCGTGGCTTCTTTATCATGGTCAAACTCAACTTGCGCATATGCCACACACGCACAACATTGCAGAAGTACCAACAGGAACACCACACGACGCAGTTGGACGAACATCGTTGTGGTGATTATCACTGTGGGTCGCTTGGGTCCATGGTAACAAGGAAGAAGTAGGAGAAAAGTAGACGCACATTTAACACACAAGGCAGACAGTACACGGCACCACAACCCAACGAGGGGAACAACAGTAAACCACTCACACAATAAAACACACCCAGAGTTACACAGATATTGAAACAACACCTTGAATTTAGAAGAAGTGGAAAACAAATGGATTGAAAACAATATTAAATAAACGTCTCTACACACACACTCCAATATCTTACTCGGTATTCATACACACAAAGTGTGTCTGTATTCTCATTATAATAAAATCATTGCCAGGCAGTTTGAACACCAAAATACACCAAAAACACAGTGAACGCGCCTGGCAACATACACAAACAATACCACAAATCATCATCAAAACAAAGAGACTGTACAATAATCAACACACAC